GCATGAAGACCAGCACCTCTCCCTGCCCACCATTTGCTGGGGCAGCCTATCCCCTGCAAGCACTGATGTAGCTCCTCTGTGGGTAACAGAGCCCAGGTGCTGCCTGGCCTGGCTCAGCCCTAAATCATCTCTGTATTCAAAACAAGCCAAGGCAGGGAATGGCACATCATTGCTGGTGCACCAAAACAGACAGGGTCACCCACAAGATCACTTGTGCCACGGTAGCTCTGGGTCAGCCTGGGAGCAATTTTGATATTAAAGGTCTTTTCCAACCTAAATGATTCTATGGTTCTATGATTCAGACCAAGCTGCTGGGAATGACCTGGAGAGGAATTATTTCACTTGTTATATGGGTAGCATTCATAGCATGTGCTTGTGGCACAGATGGATATTTTTTTTTTTTTTTAATATATAAGGAATCCTTTGAGTTTGAAGTACTGTGACTTTTAGAAGTAGCAATGCAGTGAAGCTGCCATGAGTTCTTAAAAGCACTGGCTGCACTCCCAATGCGTCTTACCCCTTTCTCCAGTACATTGTGAAGGAAAGTAACTAAACACCCAGCTTCTGATGCTTTCCAGCAGCTACACAGTGGTGATAATCAAACTTGAGGAAGCCTCTTAAAATGGGACAAAACTTGCTGTGGCTATGGAAAGGAGTGGGATGCACTGGTTTCATAACTGGCAAGGGAATGGTGGCTCAAAAGGCTTGTAGAAGGTAAGGTGGTACCTTTGACTTGCTCCTGGATGGCACCATGGGCTTGGGAAGATACAACAGCTTTCACTAACCTGCCAAGTATTACAGGAGCTAGCCTCCCATGCAGGAACACAGTTTGGAGCTCACCTTGCTCCTGGAAAAGCTGGGAAAACAGCAGAAGCATCCATCTGCTCATTAGTTGCTTGGCTTCAGGATCCAAATCTTACCTTACTGGGAGAGAGCAGAGTTTGCAACCTGAAGAGTCCCCGAGCCCTCTTCATGGACCCAAGGAGGGAAGAAGGGAGAAGGTAGCTGGCCAAATCCAAGGCCAAGACAAGGACAGTATTATTTTAGCCCCTGTTACTTTTCTTTGACCTCAGTGGAGAAAGAAGCACAGTCTGTGCAAACCCATTAACAGTTTCCTTCTCTTTATGATGGAAAATTACACACACTTATGTGCCTCCTAGGGTGACATTTGCATTTCATTCTCTCCTATTTGCAAAATACTTTGAAAACCATGCATAGAAAATGGTCGGTAAGAGCTGATTGCTGCAGGTGTGTCAAAGGAAGCAACAATCAGGATGTCTTTTGGAGACCTGTTTTTGTCTAACATTATTGGTACCCAAACCTGGATGGCACTAAACAGCGCTGAAGGGAGTTGCTGTTGGCGGATTGTGTGCAGGGAGGTGTTCATTCTGGTTTACATATCTCTGCAGGCAGGAGGGCCCAATCAGCATCAACTGATTTGGATGAGTGTTATTGGAGAGCAACACACTCACCCCTCACTGGAGGGGTACCACAGTTGCCAGCCAGACACCAGGGATTCTTGTTTCTTTATCATCTCAGTGCAAGTAATGTGCTCTCACCTGGTTTTGCATTTATAATGCCTCAGTTATTACTTCAGCCCCCTCCCTTGGCATATCCCCCTCCATGATCCAAATGTTGCTTCTCTCATGATGCAACATCTGAGAGGAATTGCTTTCTGAGGGAAACGATAGAAAAGAGTTACTCTAGCAAAATCTCTGAGGTCCCTTTTTCCTCCTTCACCAGCTTTCTCACCACTTCCCTGCAGAGAAATGCAGCAGGGCCTTTTCCAGCCCCCTTTAAGCTCACCCTAGAGAGCAAACTCTGAGCTGGGAACACGTATGTGCAAGCTGCTTCATTCAGCCTGCACATCCATAGTGCATCCTGACCATATCTGGTCAAGAAGTGCAAAGAGACCGTTCGTGTACTAACCGGCCCTGGTTCAGCCAGGGACAACCATCTGCAGCTGTGCCCCATATCTGGCAGCCCCTGCCTAGGGGCACAGCTCTGCAGCAGCAGCCCTTGCTGAGTTTTTGGTGGCAGACAGTGCCCTCCAGTGGGACATTTGCCACCACACCGTTCACACATCTTCCCAAAGAGGAAAAAAAAATGGTAATTCAAATTTTAAGCCCCCTAAACTAGACCAATAGAGATGTTACAAGCTTGCAATTGGGGGGGGGGGGGGGGGGGGGGGGGGTGAGG